CCCCAAAACCCCAAAACCCCAAAACCCCAAAACCCCATAATCTCAGATCAATATTGATTTTTAACATTGGGCAATATGAGGGATAGGGAAGATAAAATGAGGCTCTAGGAATCAGACTTTAAGCTTGGAAAGCATTAGCCACTTCTTTGGACCGATATATATCCCCGATACATATTTGTTGCTATCTTCGGTATAAATCACCTGTAAACCCATCAAAGTCTCACAGTTCTCATGGATTCTTTGAAGAATTTAAGCAAATAATTTAATGTTCTGAAAAAATATCAAATTTTCAACAACAAAAAACTCATAAAGTTTCCTTACCTACTATTAGGAAAGCCGGGTGTTTTCCAGTGGAACTGCACATTTTTCTTCTATGATTCCTTCTGTGTATAATTGTGAAATATGTCAGCATTTCTATTATTCTCATCTTCCTTGGTTTTAAACCATCTATTTCTTTCCTCAGAGAATAAATTTCACCTTTAGGAGCATTCTTTTCCATATCCTTAGTTGCTTCTTGGTCTTTTCTCTTTGGAGTTTTTAAACTTGGTCTTTGATTTATTCTTGCAAATCATTTGGTAGGCTGTCCCGACTGGTTATATTCTTGAAAGATTAAATGTGTGCTACTGATTATTTTGGAGTTACAAAATAGTTCAGCCATTTCAGGTAAGATATTAATTTTCATAGAGAGTGAATTCATAATCATTGTTTCTCTATTCCCAAAGCTTCATTTAGATATTTCTTGAAGCCAACATGGTCAAAACTGCTTCCTACATTTTAGGAAAATATACACAGGGTTTCCACAAAGTTCCTGTTAAGAGCTCTTTTAAAATAATTTTTGGTAAATATAATTCTCCACCCTGAATAGAAATGAAAACGTGTATTAAACCTTTGTGCGGAGACTGTTGACTTGAGGGCAACATCGAACGATAGCTTGATTAGATCTAAGAGCCTATATAAGAAGGAAAAATGGAGGTTTCCAAGCAAATTCAACTCGTGAAATCGACTGTACCAGGGCTTAGAATCAGCCTCCTGATACTAATTTGCATTAGTTTGTCCAAATTTTAATTAAAACTAAAACTTTCAATCTCACAAGAGATGTATGGGGTTTTGGGGTTTTGGGGTTTTGGGGTTTTGGGG